AGAACCATGTTATAAACAGAAAAGTTTATTTAGTTTACAGTTCCAAAGGGGCAAGAGTCCATCATGGTGGGGAGGCATGGTGGAAGAGAGTGGCTGGAGGATTCTAAGACCTCCCAAAACAGCATCACTATCTGGGGGCAAAAATGTCTAAATACTTGGAGCCTATGGGGGACATTCTCATTCAGACCACCACAGGGTCTTTCTGGATATGCATGGCTTCTGCTGCATAGTCTGTGTGTCATGAACACAGCAATGTGGTTTGGGTCCTACACTGGCGTCAACTTAGGGGACAACATGGAGCAACTGCAGAATTCCCTCAGTTCAGGGGCCAAAAGAGGAATTACCTTCTTACATCTTCTTAGTGCTCTCCTTCCGGTGTTGGCATGACTGTGTCCTGGAGTGGAGTATGGAGTGGGTTTTATAGCAGGGATGGGTCTGGGGTCCCTAGTGCAGAATTTCTCTGGAAGAAGCAGAACCTGACTGAGGAGCCAGGGCAGGTTGTATTCCTTTCAGCGTCTCACCTTCTTGCTTGTCTCCAGGTGAAGTTGCACAGATAATGGAGCAAAGTGACCTCTCGGTGAAAGACTCTGCTGTAGATACTTTGTAAGTAAGTGGGGAGGAGCCTCTGGTAGGCAGGGCTTCTGATGAGCTCTGTTGGCCCAGGGCTGCCCTGATCAGACCATGTGAGCTCTGAGGCATGGTGCCTGCAGCCCCACTAACCTGCTGGCCTTTGAAATAGATACTGGAGTGGGGAGCTATCCATGCTCTCAGGGCCTTGGGAGGTTTCCTCAGGTGATGGACATACTTCACCCTTTAGGAAGGAGGACCAGTAGAGAAGTGTGGGGCAGAAGGTGGCCCCCTTATTCTATTCTTACTCCCACCACCTTGTCCCAGATGCATAGTAGTCCCAGATGTATAGTAGCCACAGAAGGAAGTGTGAATGAACCAGCCGTGACATAGCCCCCACCTGCAGTCTCAGGTGACATGCAATAGGAAATTTCATTTTTGCCACGTGTAGTGGTGCACACCTTTAATCCCAGCAGAGTTAGGCAGATCTCTGTGAGTTCGAGGCCAGCCTGGTCTACGTAGTGAGTTCCAGGCCAACTGGACTACAGGGAGACCCTGTCTCAGAGAACGGGAAAAAAAGGAAGATTTCCCAGTGATTGAAAGCACTGGCTGCTTTTGCAGAAGACCCAGGTTCCATTCCCAGCATCTCCATGGTGGCTGACAAGCATCTAGAACTCCAGATCCAGGGGATCTGATGCCCTCTTTTGGCCTACACAGGCATTGCATGCACATGGTATACCTACATACATGCATGTATATGCATACAATTAAAAAATTAATTTTAGGCCGGATGTGGTGGTGCACACCTTTAATCCCTAACCCTGTCTCAAAAAAGAAAAAAAAATTAATTTTAAAAAAGGGGGTGACAGTTTTGCTGGCCATAGTGGTGCATGCCTTTAATTCCAGCACTCAGGAGACAGAGGCAGATGGATCTGTGTGAGATCAAGGCCAGCCTGGTCTATACAGCAAGCTCCAGGTCAGTTGGAGTTACAGGGAGACCCTGTCTCAAAAAGTCAAAAGAAAAATATACTTTTCCCCAAAGTTTAAATACCTGTGAGATTTGTTCCCTTGGAGCCTGGCCCAATGAAGACTGGGTCAGTGCTCACTGCCCCTTCATCAGTTCTAAGGAAGAACATGTCCTCTCTGTCTGAGGTTTGGAGACCTGAAGGAGGTAGCAGTGTGGCGTCATGATGGAGTGAGCTCAGATGGGCACCTCGCCCACGTCTTCAGACACGCAGCCAAGGAGCTGTTCGGCGAGCACGTGGAGGAGATCACCTACCGTGCTCTAAGGTTTGGCCACATTGTCCAGAGCCAGTTGCACTGTATGTGGTATGCATGCAGTATGTGTGCTATGCCTATGGTGTGTAGTATGTACGGCTGCTCTATGAGGAAGCTAACACTGTTCACAGTAGAAGGGCCTTTTGTGCATCTACCCACTGACACTGTCTTGCTATTTAAACTCAAGCTGCAAAATGGCCTGGTATGGTAGCATAAGCCTGTAAGCCAAGCATTGGGGATACTGGGAGAGGATCATGTCAAGGTCGGCCTGAGCTACATAGTGAGACTGTATCTCAAATCAAAAGATCACCCAGAAGTGATCTTTAGGTCACTGACCATCCAAACCATTTTACTGATTTATAGAAACAAAGACTTCCATGAGGTCACTCTGGAGAAAAACGGGGAGGTCTTACTGCGCTTTGCTGCTGCATATGGCTTTCGTAACATCCAGAACATGGTCCTGAAGCTCAAGAAGGGCAAGTTCCCATATCACTTTGTGGAGGTCCTTGCATGTCCCAGAGGTAAGAGGCATAGCGGTCCCAGCAGCAGCCTGCCCCACAGCACCCATGCAGGACAGGGTACTTCTTGGCTCATGCTGTCCTCAGTCATGAAGGTTCTCTTTCCTCAATTCTGGTGTGAAAAGCCGACAGTTAGCTGTAACCCTAGACATTCCCTGTGGGTGTCTAGGAGGCTTCACGTACCAGATAAGAGCCAGCTCCTAAGGCCATATGGAGATGGCACCCAGGGACTGCTGGGAGCCAAGGCTGAGCCTGTGCAGTGTGGCAGCAGGAAGGGGCAGAAGCTACCCAAGGTCCCCTGCTGCAGAGGGAGGTTGAGCCAACCCAGTGTGAAGACCTAGGTGGGGGGAGAAAAGTCCCCGACCAGGCTGGGGAGGCAGTGAGAGCAGACCAAAGCCAGGATGGGGTGGGGTCCCTGGAAGCCCTTGCTGATGGAGTAGGTATAGGTATCAGGGAAAGAGGGGAGCCTCTGATCTGGGATGGTCCATCTGTGCATTCCTCTGGGTGTAATGGATGGGTAAAGCAGGTGAGGTGTACTGTCAGGATAAAGAAGGTCCATGGAGAGTGAGACAGGGGAAGCCCCTAGCCTAGTCATGTCTGAGGAGGCACCGAGAGGGAGGAAGCTGCCTCTTGGTTCTTTGAAATGAAAGTTTTGGTGCTGGGGATGGAACCTATGGCCTTGAGTATGCTACACATACTACTCCTAGCCCCTCAAGTCCATTTTGTGTGTGATGATGTCATTTGCACATCTGAGAGTGGTAATACTACCAGTAGGAGACACTTAATCAGACCACAGTGCTGAGCTGTGTGGGCTCATGGAGGACTCACAGCCCTAATGCCTGTGCAGCCCAATTAGGCCTGCACATTGACAACACAGGACATAGGCAGTTGTGCTCACAGCCACTCCATGCTCTCTAGGGGTGGGTAGTTTAAGAGAAGTCAGATCCAGATGGGCAAAGCTGCCCTGTCCTAAAGGCTTTTAGGTAAAACCCTTGATGAGTAATATGGTAAGAATAAAGGGCACTCAGGACTCAGCCTGGGCAGGCTTCTTGACCTCAGAGAAGACAGCCCCAGCAGCAAGCTCAGGTCACATGATGCTGCTGAGCCTTTCATTCTTCTGCCCCCAACTATGTTCCCTGAGGTGAAACTCCCTTGAAACTGGCCATCCCACAGGGAAGAAGAGGGCCCACCTGTGTATCTTTCAGGATGCTTAAATGGCAGAGGCCAAGCACAGACAGAGGATGGCCATGCAGACCGGGCACTGCTGCGTCAGATGGAAGGTATCTACGCTGACATCCCTATACGGCCCCCAGAGAGCAGTGCACATGTGCAGGAGTTGTACCAGGAGTGGCTGGAGGGCACTGAGTCCCCCAAAGTCCAGGAGGTGCTGCACAGGACATACCAGAGTTCAGAGCCCTGCACAGACAGCCTGGATATCAAGTGGTGACGAAGCCCAGAGGTCAGGAGGGGACACTTCAAGAAACATCCAGTCAGTCCTTTGACAGTGTTCTGCCGACGCATAGCTTCACCTGGTGCCATCTTTGTAGTGTGTGCGGAGTGGAATGTTTCAATTGGGAGAAGCACTTCCTCTGTCTGAGTACCCTTTATCTCCTGAGATTGAGAAAAATCTCAGCAAGAACAGAGTCAGAACACAGTCTTTAGGTTTTAAAAAAATCCAAAACATGTTCTGGAAGAGCTAAAGCTCCGGGTTGTGATTCATGCACCTTAGCTCATTGCTGCAAAGATATAGAGGCAGCAAGAGAGCCAGGCTGCTGTGCCACCATGTAGCCTCCTGTAGCTGTGCCACCATGCCCGTAGCCTCCAGTAGCTGTACCACCATGCCCGTAGCCTCCAGTAGCTGTGCCACCATGCCCGTAGCCTCCAGTAGCTGTACCACCATGCTCATAGCCTCCACGCAGGCCTGGCCTCCCTGTCCAGTTTGCCTCTTTCACTCATACACATCTTAAATAATTTTTAAGTTCTGGGTCTGGTGAGATAGCTTAGCAGGTAAGGGCATCAGAGAACCAATTCCCGAGGGACCTCCACCCACATACCATGGCGCACTCATACACACACAGATGAATATAAAAAAATAATAATTTTAACTTGTAGCAATAGTGGGCCATGTTCCTCACAGACACCAGAGGTCAGTAACCATTGCACTCAACCAGCAGGGCCATGTGAGCATTGGTGGATGAGTTAGACCTCTGCTTGACCTGTGCATTCAGCCTTTGAGTTGGACTCACCTCACAGGGGGAGGCTGAGGGGAGTGGTAGATGTCTGCAGAGTGGAGCACTTACCTGGCATGTGTGAGGCCTGCATTTGATCCCAAATACATGAAAAAAGAAACAAGCAGAACAGATTTGAGAGGGCTGCCCACCTAGGCTTTGGGTTGTGAAAGAGGCCCTAGCTCATTGGTACCTTGGTGGTGTGGGAAGAAGAGCTGCGACTCCATAGACCCTGGAATGGGTGAGACAGCTTTCTCATGTTCCGTCTCTCTAAGCTCTTTAGCACTTTCAGCTGAGACAGGAGGGTCTTCTCATGCAAGTTGGCCTGACCCACCCCTCAGCAAAGTTCTCTGTGGCAGTATCCTAGTCAGCATCAGTACTACAAGCCTGAGCATGTGTTAGAAAGGGAAGCAGCATATTCACATACAGGAAGAGCTGCACAGTGAGGAACCCTACAGAGCTACGTGACGTGCATTAGAGCTGCCCAGGACGTAAATGCCTAAAGAGGCCCAGAAGGGGTTGATGAAGCATTTGAATTGCTCACATGTGTAAGGTCTTGACCCCTCAGTGTTGTTACTCCTGTGAACCTGTCTAGGTGCGTGACTGGATATGCTGTGCTAAACTATACTTTTTTTGCTTTCAATCTATATGCATTTGGGTATCCATCCACAAAAAGGATTGATTATGTAATAAACAGTGTTCACAGGGTCTGAGTGTGGGGTTAAAAGCCAGATGCTGTTGTGCCCAGCCTGGACTATAGCCTGCAGTATGCCTTGCTCACACTTACCCTGCCCCAGCCTACGTGACATTACCTGTTGCTCAGCCCCTTCCTGATGGGAGGTGAGGAGGAAGCCCAGCAGGCCTTGAACACTGGAGGCAGTGGGGGAAAGGACTGGCTTCCTGGTAGCTTTGTGGCACAGGTCCAACAGCAGCCAGTGGACCCAAGTGCTAAGATGTGAGATGCAGGGCTTTGTGTATGTTTGACCCTGGGTTGTGGGCCTGCAAGCTTTTCTTGTGAGAGCAAGCAGTGCCTTTCTGTTCCTCCATCACAGCCCACGTGGTATGAGCAGCAGGTGAGCAAGCCCTTGACAAGACTGGCCAGCGAAGCATAGCAGTTGCAGTCAGGCTGATTTGGGTGGGCAGTGTCGGCTGGTGGGTTGGCTTGTCCCAGCCTAAGAGAACAAGACAGATACGGGATTCATATCTACCCAGCACCCACAGTTATACAAAGCAGTCTGAGTTCTGGTGCTGCTGAGTGCTTCCAGTGGACCCAGAATGTCTGAAAAACACAGAAGAGTGTGTGTGCATGTCAGCCATGTCAGAGGACACCTGTGTTTCAGTGCCTGTGGTTTGGCCAGTTAGGCCACCTGGGAGAACTTTGTGCTTTATGCTTTCATAAGATGCCTCACTGTAGGCTTCAACCCTTGATGTGGCAGTGTTTTAGTGATGGTGCTTTTATCCACAGAATAGAAGGTAGTTCAACTTTGATTTGAGGTGATGAGAATTTTCTTTTTGAACCCAGGCATGGTGGCACATCTGTAGGTGTTCCCAGCACTTGGGGCAGAGGCAGGAGGATTGTCAGGAGTTCCAGACAAGGCGTGGTAGCGCACACCTTTAATCCCAGCAGAGACAGGTGGATCTCTACAAGTTCCCAGCAAGCCTGGTCTACATACAGAATTCCAGGCCAGCTGTAGCTAGAGGGAGACCCTGTCCCAAAAAAGCCAAAAACACAAAAAAAGAAAAAAAAATTGTCCATATTCTTGCTAGCAGCAGACACTTTGGGGTTGCTGTAAGATTTGGCCGCCACCTCTAAATGAGCCAAAAGACGGTGTCCTTGTACAGGAATTGCTATTACATTTCTCAAGTCCCGGTGGCTTCCTGTGTGTTTTCCTCATTGCCACTGCCAGGATTTCACCTCCAGTTGGAGAGAAAGGGGAGCTGATTTTCATGTTTCTAATTCAGTCTCCAGTTTAGGAGTTCCTACAGTTCAGTCTCTTGAGTTTTTTCTGCCTTCATTTCTGTGAATGACCCAAGATGCAATCTCTGTATGATCTGTGGGCTTTTGGAGACCAGAGAGTTCTCAGAATAGCATTGATAGGAAAGTTGGCCTGACTGAAGGAATGCCTACCTTACTGAAAATATGTACAAGTAAAGTTGAGTGGATCTTGAGTTCAAGGATAGCCTGGGCTACCTTGGGAGACCCTGTCTCAAAGCAAAACAATAAAAAGTACTTTGAGAAGCTTCTACTTTCCAACAGTATGCTTTTGCTGGTTCTCTGTGAGCAAGATGTGTGCATTAATTTTCTTTCTATGTGACAGGGTCTCCCTGCAGTCCCAGCTGGCCTGGAACTCACTATATAGACCAGGCTGGCCTCGATCTCAGAGATCTACTTGCCTTTGTCTCCTGAGTGCTGGGATTAAGGCCTGCATTAAAAAAAATTTTTTTAGAGCATGGCTCAGTGATTAAGAGCATTGGCTGTTCTTGCAGAGGATCTGGTTCGATTCCCAGCACCCACATGGTGGCTAACAGCCATCTGTAACTCCAGTTCCAGGGGATCAGATGCCCTCTTCTGACCTCTGTGGACACTACATGACTTGGGTGCACGTCTTACACTAATACACATAAAATAAAAATAATAAAATTTAAAAAAATTTTTTTAGAGAGGTTGGAGAGATGACTCAGTAGTTAAGAGCAGTGACTGCTCTCCAGAGGACCCGGGTTTGATTCCCAGCACCCACATGGCAGCTAACAGTCATTTGTAACTCCAGTTCCAGGGGATCCAAAACCCTCTTCTGACCTCTGCAGACTTTACACGACACAGGTGCACTTACATGCAGGCAATATACTTACATAAAAATAATAATAAAAATTGTTTAGAGATGGTCTACTGTGTAGCAAAGGCTGGCTCAAGCTGTCAATCCTCCTGTCCCAGCCTCTCAGGTATTGGGATTATAAGCATGTATCACTGGGCCTACCCAGCTCAACTGTTTTTGAGACAGGGTCTCACTGTTGCTCATGCTAGTCTTGAACTCAAATTCCAGTGACCATATGGACCAAATGTTTTATGATCCTTTATGGGTTTTATCCTGCTTTTGCTTCCTGTTTGGGGGTGTGTCCTGATGCTCCATGCTTCACCTCTGTGCTGTCCTTTCCAAAACAGGGTCTTATGGAGTGCATGCTGGCCTTCAAGAGGTTAGGAATGGTGACAGCAGGAGCTGAGTTGTGGTTCGATCTTACAGTGGTAACAAGTCCCTGAAACTGGGATGTCAACTCTCCCACCTGAGTCCCCGTAAGCCCAGGCACAAGCTTTTTTTTTTTTTTTTTTTTTTTTGAGACAGGGTCTCCCTGTAGCCCCAGCTGTCCTGAAACTCACTATGTAGACCAAGCTGGCCTTGAACTCACAGATTGCCACTTGCCTCTGCTTCCTGAGTGCTGGGACTAAAGGTGTATGCCACTATGCCCAGCACCAGGCACAAACTTTTTAAGATTTTTTTTTGTTTTTTAGAGACAGGGCGAACTGGCCTAGAACTTGCTATATAGGCCAGGCCGGCCTTGATCTCACAGAGATCTGTCTGCCTCTGCCTACTGAGTGCTGAGATTAAAGGTGTGTGCCACTCCACCCAACTACATTTTAAGATTTTTTTTTCAATTATGTGTATACATGTATGTGTGTATACCCATTTGAGTACAGTTCCTTGTAGAGGCTAGAAGAGGGTGTTGAATCCCCAGGAGCTGGAGTTACAGGCAGTTGTAAGCTCAGCATGGGTTCTGAGAACCAAACTCTGGTCCTCTGGAAGAGGAGTAGTGCTCTTAATGACGGAGCCATCTCTCAGCCCTCTTTCATTCATTATTTATTCGGGGAGGGAGTCACTGCCCACATGTGGAGGTCAGAGGACAACTTTTAGGAGTTGGTTCTCTCCTTCCACTATGTGGGTCCCAGTGACTGAACTCCAGTCATCGGGCTTGATAGCAAGTGCCTTTACCCACTAAGCCATCTTGCCAGCCCTTTAAAAAATTTTTTGAGATAGGGTCTCATATGCAGTTTCATATAGTCCAGGCTGGCCTTGAACTCACTTTGTGCCAAGACTGGCCTTAAAATCTTGATCTTCCAGCCTCTACCTCTGGAGTACTGGGATTGCAGGTATGCACTACCATATCCACTTTTAGGGGGTCGGAGGAGGCTGAGTCCTATCAGCTTTGCCTGCTGGAACTCTGATGCAGACTGGTTCTGCTGGCTTGACCTTGCACAGGTCTATGCAGATAACCATAGCTGCTGTGAGTTTGTGAGCACACTGTCTAGAACACAGCAGTGCACAGCACTCCTCTCTCTTGGTTCTCGTGTTCTGCCCCCTCTTCATGGTGTTCTCTGTGCCTAGGCAAAGGGGTGTTGATGTAGACATCCCATGTGGCTGAGCACTCAACAATCATTTATTCTTAGCACTTAGCAATTATTGAGTCTCTGCCTTGCTGCATGCTGCAGGAGGCTTCTGGCCAAGGCTAAGAGCACTAGTCTGTGGCCAGCCAGGACTACATAGTGAGGTCCTGTCTCAAACAGAAAAATGAAAGTAACTTGACAACATGTCCATTTAGCAAAATGACAAAAGTAGGTTCCCTGTAGGACCTGTGACTCCCAAGTCACCGGCCTTTGACCAGGTTTGTGTGGTACTGGGCATGAATTCCCTCCTGTAGAGCAGCCTCAGAGCCAATCAGAACATGGTTGGTTGCCCCAATAACAGTCACGCCACTATCGTACCAGTGGGTGCATCTTGCCTGGCAGGTCAGTATTGTAGGATTCAGAGTCCAGCACCAAGACCATTAAAGTCCCCCTCCCCTCCCTGCCAGCAGCCTGCACAACACCTTCCACTATGAAAATTGACCAACAGGAAAGTTTTCAGGTCAGTTCCAGCTTGACTCCTCTGTGTCCTGCAGGTACTCTGCTCTTCAGCAGTAGAGCCTTGCCATCTAGTTATTGGGGCTCCTGGAGTCTCCCTGACCCATAACACAGAGAGGGAACCCACAGCTGGCACCAAGTTTCATTTTGTAACCCAGGCCAGTTTCTGCACACATAGGAACACTTACATGCAGGAAAAATGCTCATGAAATGAAAATAAATTTTTTAATATTTTTATGGCAGGGCGTGGTGGTGCACATCTATATTCCCAGCACTTGGGAGACAGAGGTAGGCGGATCTTTGTGAGTTCAAGGCCAGCCTGGTCTACATAGTGAGTTCCAAGCCAGCTGGGCCTGCCTCTGCTGGGATTAAAGGCATGCGCCACCATGTCCACCCACAAACCCATCTTTTAGGTGAGTTCTGGGGATCCAAACTTGGCTCCTCATGCTTATGTGGCAGTTTATGAGGTAAGCTGTCTTCCAATCCTGCTTCCGTTTTATTCAGTCCAAGATCCTAACTCATAAAATGGTACCTGCTCCCATTTAGGGTTTCTTCCCACTTCAACTAACCTAGAATATCCTTCACATACATACCCAGAGGTTTGTTTCCATGCTGATTCTAGATGCTGTCAATTTGACAGTCATTACAGTACTTTCATTGATACCCGTAGGGCTGGTATGACCCACCCACTGCAGTGGATCTGGGCATCAGACCTGGCTGTCAGGTGTATCACAAGTGAGCCATAAGCAGAAAGTGGGGCTTCTGTTGGCAGCCAAGCTGCAAGTGCTGGCTTGGATGCAGTTATCCGAAGGGCACA